AAAAAAAAATTGGGGAAGGTGATTATGGGGTCAAATGATTGAAATAGATTAGGGCATATCTATACATTACTTCACTCTTCGGAAAGTCATAGTGCATACCAGTATACTACAGTCTCTGTGAAATCCTCCTATAGAGAGATGTTGAATATTTTTTATCTTAACCTAGCCAGTCTTATTGATCACAGTTCTTTTCTTAACATAGTACCTAATAATAATCCCAAGGTTAAGCATTCCTCCTTTATTCGGGTTGCTTTCTGCCATGATCCACATATTGGTGGCTAGCAACTTGTAGACAGATCTCAACAGTCACAGGCAATAAGAAGCTATCTTTATCAGTCTATTCTGTAAGAGTATAAGGAAAGCTCTTTTTGAGCCTCTTACAGAACATTTACATTGTTTAGAATGCACTTTTTAATTTTTTAGTAAAGCACGAGTTCCTTACTTAAGCAGCCTCTGTGCCTCTGTATACGTTCATCTTTTCCTCGGGTTAGGACTTGAAATGGTTGGCTACTATGGAATGAGTAGAAACAGGTGAGCTCCTCATGCCTGGGGCTTGGATTGCATTTTCCCCAGGCTGCTGTGGCCTGGATGACCAGTGTGCCTAGTGATGCATCGCTCTTTGTTGCCTGAGGCTTGTGCTTGCCCATGGCAGGACTTGTGAATGGCTTGTGCTACCGTGTCGTTGTGAAGAACTGTGCTGTGCATTTCTCCTTACAAGTTACTTATTTATTTGCTTTCCACAGTGATGGAGAGGGGAGAAAAAGGACCTCGTCTACTTGCAGCAATGAGTCCCTAAACACTGGAGGAACTCCCGTCACCCCTCGTCGAATCTCCTGGAGGCAGCGCATTTTCCTCAGGGTTGCTTCTCCCATGAACAAATCTCCCTCAGCAATGCAGCAGGGTCTGTGTGGTACACACTAAAGAATTACTCCTTACCGGTATCATAAACTAGGGAATGGAATGCAGTGCTTTGGGTCCAAAGAGATTTGAGTGATTTCAGTGGAGAAATAACTTCTGTTTCCATATATGACATGGTGGTGAACTTCTCAGCTATCGTTAGAACGTAGTAGACATTCGGTAAATGCTTGATGAGTGAATGAGTGAACTCCCCAAACTGGGCACTAAGATACTGCTAGAAAAGCATACATTTTTTTTTTTATTATTAGAAAAGTAACCTACTCCTTTACAAGGGTCACTCATAAAACAAAGTGACATCAAAATGTTGAATGATTAAGAAATGGATACAGAGACAGTAGACAAATATCAACCAAAAGATATGAGACCTGTTAGAAATTAAAGCAAAGACATCCAAAGGGGCAAAGTAAATTATAACAATAAACAGAGATACAAAAATGATGATCAATTATGCCAACATGCGTAATTATATAGCCTTGAAAGTTAGAAAATAGAAGTTCACAGAATGTTGGGAAGAAATACATCAGTAGCTCTCATGGGAGATTTTAACATATTTTTCTCTAAAAATTAAATACAAGGAGGGTATATATAGTTAATATTTGAGAAATATAATTTAACAAGCTTGATCTAATATTTATACAGAACCTTGCTCCCTCATAGGCAAAGTTCATTCATTTTTAGTGCACATGGAACAATCCAAAAAATTGTGTACTTGGCCACAAAGGCATTATTTTAATGAAACAATCACATAATCTCTGATTACAGTGCAAAAAAAAAAAAAAAAAAAAAAAAAGGAATCAAGAATTAGAAGACAACTAAAATGTTTCGTGTGTTTGGAAACTGAAAACTACTAGAAACTAGAAGGAAGAAAATATGTTCAGAGCCCTACACATCAACATTGAGTTGTATTTAAAGGGCATTTTTAAAATCAGGAAAGACAAAACTCAAATATACCTAAGTATTTAATTCAAGAAGTTAGAAAAGGAGCTCTTGAGTAAAATTTTTAAAAATTATTTATTAAGGAAATAAATAATAAGGGTAAGGGCAGAGGTCAGTTAGTAAAGAAAAAGAAATCAGAAACTGACATTACTAGAGAAAAAATTAACTCTGCCTAGGGTGGCCAGAGAAAGCTTCACAGGAATGTTGGATATTTACATTTAAACTCATTGCTGGGAGAAGCATGTTTCAGGAAGTGAAACTAGCAAAACTCTGACATCATCAGAGAGAACTTTGCAGGTTAGGGGAGAAATTCAGCATGACAGGAGCAGAGGATGGGAGATGGAAACACAGGTTGGGAAGTTTACACGAGGCAGGAGTCTGAAGCTGTCCATATGCTGTTTGCAGTAGTTTGGACTTTGTGCTTTGGGGCATAAGCAACTGTTGAAATATTTTAAGAGACATAGTCATGTTTGTTAGTAGGAAACTAATTGGCAAAGGTGCAAAGAATGGCCTGGAACAGAGGGAGAGAGCGAGCTCCAGGAATTGGGTAAGAGAATGTTGCAGGAGCGAGCAGAGGTGCTGAGCCAAGGCAGGCCCCACATTGTTCAGCTGCTCTTCTCTTGACTGTGTCTGATGGTAGATGGAGACCTTAGGAGATCACTATTACCTACTCACATAACCTTTTTGTTTTGCACAATCAGAGAATGTACAAAGATAAATTGCAGAAGTGTTGGGCTCTGGGGATTGCCAGTTCATCTTAGAGCACCTATCTTATAGGTCATTGTGTGCAGAAAGAAGAAGTAGAGAAATTACATGTGCTTTTGTTTCAACTCGAGAGGGAAATCTGGCAGGGGAATTTAGTTTAGTGAATTTACTTAAGCTGTTAGTTCCAGAAATGCAGTTACTGGGAAAGTGGCCTTGTGAAAAGCTTTAAAGGTGGAAGATAGGATGAGAGAACATCAATTCTAGAGAAAGCTTCCGTAGTCTGGGTTACTGCTTAGGAATGCCTCTCACTGTTTTCTTCTCTGCAGATGGACTGGACAGGAACGAGCTGCTGCCACTGTCCCCTCTTGCTCCAACCATGGAGGAGGAACCCCTGGTTATATTCATGTCTGGTGAAGATGATGACCCAGAGAAGGCTGAAGAAAGAAAGAAGTCAGAAGAACTGAGGAGTTTGTGGAGAAAAGCAATACATCAACAAATCTTGTTGCTTCGAATGGAGAAAGAAAACCAGAAACTTGAAGGTTAGCCATTCAATCAGGGCTAAATTATATGATACTATAATTGAAAGCTTTAGGTTAAAACCACCCCCGTCTTCCCCACACTCAGTCAAGGAGTATAAATGCACTTTGACTAGGATTTTACTGATTATAATTGTTTCATTTTATTTTCTGAGGTTGCAATGACATGGGAATGTGCAGCTTAAAATATTTGCATTTTTGTTTAATAGCTAAAACATCAGACACCTTTAGAGTGTATTTGGGTAACAGAAAATGTACATAGTGTGGCATCCATGTATTTGATGTGACTGAAAGTCTAATATTATTGTGCATTACTTAAAAAAAAACACTTAAACATGAAAAATATTTCAAAAATTCTTTTTGAAATTGATTTTCACCTTTTAGGCTAATTGCATTTATAATAAGGGAAATGTGCCTATTTCAAATAAATTCTATTTGTATTGTACCCAGTTCAACTATCTAATTACCTGTTATCAAATCAAAGTTCCTAATTTTTGTTATTGCTTTATATACTTTCTACTTAAAAAATCATATTCAAATCATTAAATTTATAATTGGATAATTTACAATAGCTTCTGTGGTATTACTGGTGCTTTATTGCTTAGTTTATGAATAAGTGTTTTAGAATGTGTTTCCCAGACTTCGAAAGAATGATGTTATTTACCTCCTTATGAACCACACATAAGGAGATGTGCAGACGGGACCAAAACTCAAAAAATGTATTAATGTTACTATGTTTGGCAGTGCACTTAACCTAAAAGGGCCTTGTTTTTCACATGTGTAAAATGAACGATTTAGCTTAAGTGGGTCCTTTGATTTACAAGATTATAGGAAAATGTACAATTTAGGTTTTTCTCTGGCTTGCTTTTATTGTGTTGTCTTCCAAAATGCTTTTTTAAGAACAGGTATTCACATTTCTATGCTCATCACCTATCTTAAGATTCCTCTTACTACACCTAATACTCAATTCTGTTTTTAAATTGAACAATATTTAGTTTGCAAGGGAGTAATTTTCTTTATTGCTGTTTTCTTGGCAGACTGGAAGTACGTAAAGTTTTAAATATCCTAGGAAGTAAATCTTTTTTTTTTTTCTTTAAAATTAAAAACCCAATTGATTGTTATTGGTACAGCTTTTAAAAGTTTGATGTGATAAATGGTATGCCCACCCGGGCTATTATAGATTTTGAGGGAAATTCAATTCATATTCAGGGTAAGAGAGGAGGTGACATTTAGCAGATATGGTCAGAAACCTTTATGAGTTCTTTTTTTTCTGTATTTAAGTAACAGAGACAAAAAATAGTTGAGCTTATTAAAATTCTAGTCAATGGATAATTATTTATTGATGGTTCTTTATTTTTTGCCTAGTTAACCAGGTGAGGGCAGATGTTGACTGTTCTTAATCAGCATTTTATCCTCAGGGCCTGAAGCTGGCACATAGCTCTTGATTATTCTCTTAAATGAATAAAGATCTAAAGAACGTTGCAGGGGGACAAAAAGGAAATATGCTTTTGTTAATTATAAAAAAATAGTAAAGTAACATATAGGGTTATATTAATTATTAGCTTTAATGAACCCACTTCTTCAAAAAAATTTGATTACCATAGAGAAATATAAAGCAAGTATTGAGAAGCAAAGCTCCTCTCTGTGAGTTTAGTGGTATCCAAGAGGTAAGCCATCTAGTGGTATCCAGGAGTATTTTCATAGTGAAAGTTTGGTTATATCTGGACTTTCAGTAGAAACTTTTACTCTTTATTTGAATAACCGTATTATAAGATATTTAAATTCTTTGGAATGGTTTCAAACACACTAAGTAAAGGGTAATACTCATTCTGCTGTTGTTTTTTGTGCTGTCGAGGACTTTGGATGCATGACAAAGATTTGTGTTGCAGAAGGTAAGGGGTTGAGCACTGTGAGCTTGAATGAGTACACATTAATCTGTGAGACTCCTGTTCAATGTGATCCTAATGAAAGAGAAAAAAAAAATAGTTAAATTTTTTTTCTTCCTTTACTCTTTTGGAATCAAGTATTCAAGATAAAGAACACATCAAGTTAGTAGTTGCTTTTATAGGCCTTTCTTTAATGAGCTCTGGGCTTATATTTTAGACCATCAAACAAGAGAGAATTCTGTACTATTTTTAAAAACAGAAGTAGTGTTAATTTCAATAAAATGAATTTTTTTCTTTAAGAAAAAAATGAACACAGAGGCACATGACTTAACATTTTTAAAAGAAGTATTGGTAACTCTGGGAATAATTATAAAAATGTATTGGGTTACCATGGTCAGTATTTCTCTAATCAAGGTTAGCACGAGGTATTGTTTTCTCATATAGGTCATATATAAAATATCATTGGTGTTGAAAATGATGCAAGTTGTCACATCTGAGGCTATCACATTTGTCAAAAAAAATTGAAACTTACAGCCTAGGGAACATGCTTAGTTTTTTATGCTTAGTAGAGCTCCCATCTGTAAGATACAGAGTAAAACCTCCTTAGAAAGTTCTTCCTGTTACTTTTTTACGTGATATGACTCCGTTTGGGAACCTTTCATGTATCCTCACTTTTTTTAAGTTTACTTTGTGACTACATGTTAGTGGTTGATTCCTAAAAATCATTTGGTATGATTTTACAAATACAACAAAATGTTTAAAATTCTGTGTTCTAGGAACACATCAGTTTTACATAAATTCTTTTGTTTTTCTTAGCAAGCAGAGATGAACTCCAGTCCAGAAAAGTTAAACTGGACTATGAAGAAGTTGGTGTATGTCAGAAGGAGGTCTTACTAACCTGGGATAAGAAGTTGTTGAACTGCAGAGCTAAAATCAGAAGCGATATGGAAGACATTCATATTTGTCTTAAAGAAGGTATTCTGGATTGCCTTTTTCATTTGAGTAATATTGACACACAATGTTACATTAGTTTCAGGTGGATCATCGTTAATCATCTTTTTTAGAGAAAATCTTTAGAGATTTTTTGATTTGTGTAGCTCAGGTATAATTTTGTCCTTGTGCTTTGCCTATAAAAAAAGGGAAGTAATTTGCTTTTGACTGCAGTCAGTGACTTTGTTGGGAAGAAAACAGTGCTAATAGAGAGATGGTCCCTGAGGAGTTAGCAGACACCTTTTCTATAGGTTTTCCTGTCTTCTTCAACCAGCTGTTCTCAGCTGTCTTTGTTATTTATCAAGAAAGGAGTGAATGCATGGGTAGAGACCTTGGATCATATCCATAAAAATAATTTAGACTTACAAACTAGACTCATTTCCATCATTTAGTCAGAAACGTTTATATGTATATGTATATGTATATTCACCTACATGTATGTGTGTGTGTAAACAGATTTATGTTTTTATTCATCAATCAGTTTTCCTTCCATGTATATATTCCTTTATTTTGGAAAAATTGCTTTTATTTGGCCATTATACTGTATTGCTACTCTGTCATATAAAATGGCTGATAGTTAAACATCTTAAATTTAAAATTAAAACTGCTTAGCATGTGAATATTTGAGGTGCATTTCTGTGACCCAGCTATTAAAATGAGGATCTCATGACCTATATAAGCTGAGTGCAAAATAAAAATCCAAGAATATCCAAAGATATCTGTTAATGAATCTTGTTTTAAAAGCTTATGATTAATGTGTGAAACTGTTGCATAGTTAAGTTTAAATGAAGTTGAGATTAATTTTGTAAGATGCTACATTTATTGGTTTTTTTTCCTTGAAGATATGGAAGTCCTAAACATTTTCATTGATTGCATTATTTGTGAGACAGACTAGTGGGTAATAGAATGTGTGTGGTTGTTGATCACACTATTCTTTGGTATGAGTTTTAAAGATTTTTAGGGGTGCTCAGCTTCCCATTTCTTATAGGATACAGTTTGAACCTCTGAGCACTCTGCCCAGGGCCCACCATAATCTCTGCCTCCTTCATCTCTGATCTCATGTTCTGCTTCCTCCCTCCCTGTATCATGTGTTCCAGAGAGGTTGAACTACACTGGGTCCCAGTATATGTCCCAGGCTGTTTCTTGCATGGAATGTTCCAGTTTTCCCTAACCTCTCATCCTTACCTCTCCACCTGCTGCCTATTTCCCATCATCCTTTTCTTTTCACCCCTCCTCCTCCTCTTCCTTTCTCACCCCATTCCTTGCCTTTCTGAGGGCGTTCAAACGTTTCCCTTCCTGAAGGGATTGCTGCCCACACTCCCAGCTTGGAAAATCCTATTATCTTTTTGATCTCAGTTCAAATACCATTTCCTCAGAAATCCCTCTCTTCCACCAAAATCAATTCATTTTGCTTCATTATTTTTTCTCACGATTCTTTTCCTTAATGGTGCTTATCATAATTATAATTTTGTATTTAGGCATATATTTGTTTAATGTTTTTCTCACCCCGCCACTGCACACCTAGCACCTAAAAAGGATCTTGCACAAGTTATTTACTGAATGAATACATGGATGAATGAATGAATGAGACTAATTCCTGAGAATGGATTTATTCATCTCCCAGGGAGGAAGTATCCTCAGTGCCATTCTCTATACTTTGCTATGTGTTAGATGTTCAACAGATGACTTGTTTAGCTGAACTGAATTGCCTTCTTGCAAAATTGTTGTTGGATGGATAATAAAACAGCCCACTCATATTATCAGAGATTCATTTAGTGGGCTAATGAAAGTTACCCCCAAATGACATTTTACATGTGATCATTCATTCATTCATTCATCCTACAGATGTGTAAGTAGCAACATATATTCTTGGTTTGCCTTATAGAGAGACTTATTAATGTCAAATGCTTAGAATTTATAAGTACTGGCATTTATTACTAGCTTTAAACCAAATAAAAGGTGGGAATAGGCAGGGATACATTTCATGGTTTCAGAATTTGGCCTCTGAAGCCAGACTTGGAGAGTTCTAATCCTAAACTTCCACTTACAAGCTGTGTGATCTTGGGCAAGTTCTTTGCTTCTTTCTTCCTCAGCTTCACCATCTGGAAAGTGGGGATAATAGTAATCACCTGCCTCATTTGGTTGTTTTCTGAGCACAGGTACAATGCTGAGTGGCAATGCACCATTGATGGAATGTTGTATTAGGTGCCCAATCAGTGTTGGCTGATGTTAACATTGCCTTCATTATTATTATTTTTTAACATTTATTTATTTTTGAGAGACAAACAAGGACAGAGCTCGAGCTTGGGAGGGGCAGAGAGAGAGGGACACAGAATCTGAAGCAGGCTCTGGGCTTTGAGCTGTCAGCACAGATCCCGACGTAGAGCTCAAACCCAGGAACCGTGAGATCATGACCTGAGCCGCTTAACCGCTTAACCGACTGAACCACCCAGGCGCCCCAGCATTGCCTTTATTATTGATACTTGAGGGTTTTCTTTTGCAAGATATCAGCAGCTTCAGGATTAAACTTCAGGATATCTTTTGCAAGATATCAGCAGCTTCAGGATCAAAATATGCTCTCTCAGCACATCATACTGTGTGATGGGAGGGAGGGTGGCACACAGGACCTTACAGCTGCCTGTTTTCAGGCATTACATAGTTCATCAGTGGTTTAGCAACTTCATTCCAGAGATCAAGACCTTGCCTTTTATCTTTGTAGGTGTTCCCAAAAGTCGACGAGGAGAAATTTGGCAGTTCCTAGCTTTACAATACCGTCTCAGGCACAGATTGCCCAATAAACAACAGCCTCCTGACGTTTCCTATAAGGAACTTTTAAAGCAGCTCACTGCTCAGCAGCATGCCATTCTTGTGGATTTGGGTATGTTTGTCATATTGATTATTGTACAAAAGCAAACGATACGTCCCTTTCCTGAGTATTTTGGGGGGTTTTGCTTGGGGTTTTGTGGTAGTTTGTGTTTTGTTTTGGTTTTGGTGTTGTTAAAGAGGACCTATTGAATTATACAGAGCTGCCGACTTTCCCCTTTCTTGAGGGCAAGTTGACTTCATGTCTGGTTGAAAATACCATAAATGCCTGAATACAAAATGAAGTTTTCATCCCCAGACTTTGCCCCCGAAAAAGGGTGTTATCTTATATTTGAATCATTATAAAGGTCATATTATCAGGGACTTTCAATTCCTGTATTTTGAAAAACTGACTTTTGTTTGGGTTAGGCATTTATTTTCTCAATCAACACTGGTTTTAAAATAGGATAGACTAGGTTAAAATTTAAACAGGCCTTTGAATATCACTTTAAAAAGCAGCACAATAAGTGGTTATGCTGTGGAATCATGAATACATCCCTATAGGATGAAAGAAAAATGAGCTGTCCTAATATTATATGAATGGCTACTTGTGACTGGGGAGAATTTCCAGTGATAGCGTCATAAAGCTATCTTTTTAAAGTCTGTATTTCAAATAACTAATGGAAAGTAAAAAAAGGTATGATTTTTAAAATTACATTTTCTCTAGTTTTTCTCTAATTTATCATTTTATAATATATATTTTATTATTTAAAAATGTCTGATTAATTGGATTAAATATTGTGCATTGGCATTTGACTTTTTTATCTGTATCCCTGAAAGGTGGTATATTTAAAGTGGCCAGATATGTTACTTGAGTCCATTTGGGAAAATAAGGGGTTACCTTATATTTGGGGTCCCCTTATATTAGGGCATATCAAAATCACTGGCCAAAACCTAGTTTTGATCTCTGTTCCTTTTGGATGATAAACAGCTTTTGTTGGGAAAGGACCCAACTCAGTTAGTATTTTTTGATTTAATATTTTTTTGTAATGGGGAATTTTACAGAGAAGCTAAAGACTTCAGTTCTTGTCTGATTCTACCACTAAACTGTGGTTTTAGGCAAATTATTTTGCTTCTGAGACTCAGTCCTTTCATTTAAATGAGGACCTTGAACTAGGCAATCCCTGTGGATCCCCACAGATCTGTGGTTCTGTGACGAGAAATTGATGACCAGACTAGAAATGGGGATGGTTCATTTAGGGCTAATGAAGATATCCTAATAAAGAGAAGGAGATGATGCGATTAGATTATAAGGCAAGGCTGGTCAGAAAAAAAATGAAGCTAGAATTAATGTCTTGGGTAGAGAGTACACTTACAGTTTTCTTCAGCAAAAAATTTAAGTAATAAAGTAAAATGATGATTAAAAAACTGTTTATTTAACTCTACTTGTAGCCATCTGTGTTTCCTCAGTGTGTTCTTGTTATTTTCTCATATGTTCCTCTTGCTCTGCAGAAATTAATCTTACCAGTTCCTGGGGGGAGGAGGGAAACAAGATCACTTTTAAGCATATGTGGTGGAAAACATTTAAAAATCTGGCATTATAAGTTCTCACTGACGTGAGTAGTCACTTTGCAAGGAAACTGATCTCCCCTTCATTTTTGGGCATAAGAAAAGTCCCATGCCAGTGTCTACAGCCTTGGTGATGAAGATGGGTGGGTTTCAGTGTTTAGTACCAGCTTTTCAGTGATCCAGAACTGATTTTGTTTGCTTGTTGGGTATCTCTATGGTAATTTTATCCTGAGAGGTGAATTTTAGAGGGGAATTTATTTGCAATCAGCTTGGCCCTTTGCTTTACTTGCTTTTTGGCTATTTTGAAAAAAGAAAAGAGGTCTGTATGGCTCATGGAGGTGGTTTAAGAAACAGAGAGCAAAGGATATTTGAAAAAAAGAAGTATTTCCTGAACAATAGATTGAATGTAAAACAAAATGACCTCAAAAAGCTCCTCCAGTGTCATATTACATACAGGAAAAGCAGGACTAATTCTGTTTAGGCGCTACTAAGATTTCCTTTTAAATAATGTGATAACTTTGATAGAATTCTGATTTTACTCGGAGGGTAGTCTTTATGTGAACTTGGAATTTGCCTTCATTTATAGCCAGAATAGATTTTGTATTCTGTTTTCCTGGGATCTCTCCTGGACATGTCCATGATTTGTGTGTGAGTTTTGTTATTGTTGTTTTCTAGAAAGAAGTGCTATTTTAGCATCAAATGTTTTCTTCACTTTTGTATGTGTAGAGATGGGGTGGTGGTCTGGCAGGTAGGACCTAGGACTTGCTGGAGAGTTTTAGTTAGATGGGTATTCCACACAGCTCTCACTGGTTCAGAAAAGAATGTTTATTTCCTGGAAATCACTGCATTGCAATTTCACTTTTATCTCCAAAGCTCAGGGTATCTCAAAAATATTTATTTTCTCTTCCTCTGCAGGAAGGACATTTCCTACTCACCCTTATTTTTCAGCACAGCTTGGGGCAGGGCAGCTCTCACTCTTTAACCTCTTGAAAGCCTACTCATTGCTGGACAAAGAAGTGGGTTACTGTCAGGGGATCAGCTTTGTGGCTGGAGTCCTGCTTCTGCACATGAGCGAAGAGCAAGCCTTTGAGATGCTGAAATTCCTCATGTATGACCAGGGCTTCCGCAAACAGTACAGACCTGACATGATGTCGCTGCAGGTGAGGCACATGGGGAGCTGTTACCAGAAATTGTAGCATTAGCCCTCTTCTACATTACACTTAAGATGTAAAGAAATTTGGGAATGCCTGGGTGGCTCAGTTAAGCGTCTGACTTCGGCTCAGTCCATGATCTTGTGATTCATGGGTTTGAACCCCAGGTCGGGCTCTGTGCTGACATCTTGGAGCCTGGAGCCTGCTTCAGATTCTGTGTGTGTCTCTCTCTTTACCCCTCCCCCACTCGCACTCTCCCTCTCTCTCTTTCTCTCAAAAATAAATAAACAGTAAAACAAATTTTAGAAAAGACTGAAAGAAATTTGGGCCCATTGTCTTGGAATTAGTATAAACGTAGAGACTTCTTTTGACGTTTTAGTATGTGGGATTTGTACTTTTGCTAAACCTGTAAGAGTAGGACATCTATATTCAGAAAAACTCTTCCATAAAGTTCCTGAAGTGAATAAATGAGCAATTCTAGAAAAGTAGTGGGTACTTAAGTCTCTCTCCCCTAAGTCTGCAAGTGGAAATAGAGAAAGAATCAAGTCTTCTTTATTCACTTTTCCTCAACCTGTCAATTGAATAGAATCAAATCTTTTTTTTTTTTTTTTAAATCTAAAAATATGTCCTTATTCTTTTACTGTGAGTGCATCAGCGGCACATATCTGTGTCATGGTTCTTCTTGAACTTACCATGTCTCTCCTCCTTTATCTTTATGTCAGATAGGTCCTTCTAGAGGAAAAGGTGCCCAAAGTCAGTGGTAGTTTTCGGTCCGCTTTTCTTAGCATGCACTGAAGAAGCACCATTAAGATGTTTTAGTCCTTTTAAGCGGGGTACTCACTCCCACTGCGGTCTTCAACCTATTTCGGACTCCCTGTCTACACATTTCTCCTTTCTAGTTAAAATTCCCCTTTCCTTAGTGTATTGGTTTCTAACAAGCAGTTTAAATTTTATCTATAGATATGATATCACCAACTGCCACTACCTTTCAATTTAAAGCTTTTAGTAGTAAAAATATAAAAGAAGACTTTCAAGAGAGGAATGTCAGAGTTCTCCTCCTTTGAAATGAGGTAGGCAAGATCTGTTAGTCATAATATCATGCTGTAGATAAGAAGTGAAATATTTTAAAAATGCTTTTAAAATATATTCTTTTCCTGGTTCCTAAGGATCAGTTTTTACATTTAATATTTTAGTTACCATTCTACAGGCAAAAAAGGACTCGGTTTTCACCTTGTGAATGTTACAGTAAATGGTATTTTCTTGAGAGGATCAATGGAGAGGAAGCGATTCATTTTCTTTAAAAAAATTTTTTTTATCATTTATTCATTTTTGAGTGAGAGAGAGACAGTATGAACAGGGGAGGGGCAGAGAGAGAGGGAGACACAGAATCTGAAGCAGGCTCCAGGCTCTGAGCTGTCAGCACACAGCCCGACATGGGGCTCAAATCCACAAGCTGTGAAATCATGACCTGAGCCGAAGTCGGAGGCTTAACCGACTGAGCCACCCAGGTGCCAAGCACCCCTTCTTTACTTTTTTTAGATGAAATTTTTGCTAGGGAGCTAGGGTTTCCCTCTTAACATTGGGTTTTCAGATGTGAGTTCATATAAAGGGTCTTTATCACGATCCATAAATATAGTGACTTGATTCCTAGTTGATGACTATTCACAGGTGTGTTAACATGCCACAAGTCAAATAATGACAATGGAATGTTTTATTTTTTACTTTATTTCTAAAGTATCTAATACTGGATAGTAAGCATTGGTGCCCTCGTAACGAATTAAGTAGCTCTGATTTCCAGAAATAGGTTTGGATAGCCAATATTAAAAATATTAAAGAATGGGAAGTACCTGTGAGCAGTGTTTGATTTAGGTCCCTAAGTGGAAAGAGAGATGCAGGGGGTGCCTCGGTGGCTCAGTCAGTTGAACTTCTGCCACCTGATTTCCACTCAGGTCATGATTCCAGGGTCGTGGGAACAAGCCCAGCATCAGGCTCTGTGCTGAGTGTGGAGCCTGCTTAGGATTCTCTCTCTCCCTCTCTCTCTCTGTCCCTCTCTCTCTCTCTCTCTCTCCCTCTTCTCTCTTTCTCTCTCCCTCCCTCTGACCTTCTTCCCCACTTGGGCTCTTTCTAATAAATAAATAAGTAAGTAAATAAATAAATGTAGTTCTCAATTTAGAAATGCAGTTGTTTTCAATTTAAAAAAATCATCAGTTTGGTATCATAAGAATTCATGTAAATTGGATTAACACATTTGTATGACTTGCAATTGCCAGTAAATATTTTATGTCCATAATTATGACAATGAAGATGTTTTAATCTTGGTAGCATTTGTAGAACCTGCAAGATTGGGGACCTTATTCCAGGAGAATAGATCTTTTTGCTCTGTAAGTGAGGTACAACAACACTTTTCCACCTTCAGGAGCAGAAAGTGTTTTTTTATCCAATCAATGTAACTTTCAGAAGTGGAAACAGCAGTGGGCATGGATCACTTGGTAGGATTTCTGGTTACCTGCACAGTGTGAGCGTGGACACTCCAGGTTCTTGGCCTGGGTTCCCTTATCCATAAAAATGAGGGAGTTGAGGTCTCTTTTAACTTTGTCTCCTTATGTTCTGTGGCTGCAGTTTTCTGTGTTGAGTGTCAAAGCATTGTGTCTTTTATCTGACGTCTTTGCTCTCCCCTCTCCCCATCTTCTCTACCTTTCTCATCTCTCTCCACGTCTCCCTCCTCGGACTCTAAATCTTCCATTGGAAGAGTTGCCATGTTATCTGTATGGTAGAACTGAAGAATTACTTATTCTTAGCAGATGGCATTTTATTATTAAAGTTTCCTTCAAAGGAAGATTGAATTATGTTTTTATTTGCTTTTATCAGAAGAAATTTAATGTAAATATACCTTGATGGAAGAAATGTTCCGATCTCCTGGTTTAGAATGCAGAAAAGAAAAAGGTTCTTAAAAAAATAACGTTGAAGTATTGCTTCTGTGTCACAATCCTAACAGAACAAGAACAGAATGCTTTTGCCAATATGCTTTCTCTTTATCCTGCTAATTAGACTTCTTTGATTTTTGTGCTGCCAAAATACTAATTCTTCTATTGATGGCACATAGGATGTCTAGTTTCTAAATTATAAATGGCCTCAGGGAAATCTATGATTTTTTTCAACATGACTGAGATAATAATCGCATTCTTGTAAACCTTTATGTTTGACTGCAGCTAAGCTCTGTGTTTCATAGGTATGACTTCCTGTGGCTCTTTCTGTCCTTTTAGTTTGTGTGGGACCTTAGTTTCCACAGATATGTGTTATTGATAAAGATCAAAGAAATAATTTTCCGTATTTATATATAGTACTTTGATTTTTAGTTTTGTGCTCTGGAAACAACTGTTGAATTCACAATATAATCGGTTATTTTGATGCGTTTTTATAAAGCTAACTACCTGAGGGTAACATTTTGATGATATTGTCTAGTGAAAGAAGTTGTGCTAGACTTAATAAAATAGCATACACATTTCACACTAAAATGTCAAACGGATATAACTGATCAAGGAACCACTACTCAGGATGTTACTGTGTGGATAAAAATGTAAATACTTCACAAATTTGTTGATTATTTGCTACTGCCTTAACCTTTAGCGACCACAGACATATGAGTTTAAAGGCTATAATTCTGCCTTTATAATGTTTTTAAAAATACCAATAATAAAACAGTAACCGAATGAAATAATTTCTTCTTTTAATACTAGAGCACTTTTGGCTTTAATCCCCCTTTTCATAAAAAATATGCTGCTGGAATACCTTGGATATTAGAAATCCTATCCCAAACTTCTGCCTCCGTAACATTCTAAGCCAGGCAGCATTCTGGCAGCACTCGTTGCCTGGTGGGGTCGAAGCCAGAGCTCCATCGTAACTCAGCTGCTGGGCCCAGCAAACAGAGACAAACTTTGCTTCTGAACTAAATGTAGAGTCTTTAGAATGGAGGCTTTTCTGGAATTGGTCTGAAATTGAAATAGACCTTCCATGAGAGTCCTAAGCCAGGACAATTCTGATTAAATTCCAAAAGCAGTGCCTTCCTACATGAGGAAAAACAACCATTTCCATGTATGTATGTGACACCAAAAAACATATGATAGAGAAACCTGTGTAGTCATCTCAGATGGACTCTCAGTGACTTGCTTTATGACCTCAGCTAAGTGAACTTGGACTTTAATATCAACTTTAACATAATAAAAATAAATACTAACTACTTTCATGTATTGAATATGTGTGACTTTGTTATTAAATATTGGGGTAAATAAAATTAAAGTTAGTGTATTTTATGCACAGATAAATGCATAATATTTTATTTTTCTTCTCCAAATTAACTTTAGATTCAAATGTACCAGTTGTCCAGGCTCCTTCATGACTATCACAGAGATCTCTACAATCATCTTGAAGAAAATGAAATCAGCCCCAGTCTTTATGCTGCCCCCTGGTTCCTCACATTGTTTGCCTCTCAGTTTCCACTAGGATTTGTAGCCAGAGTTTTTGGTAAGAGATGCCTATGATCAAATGGTACAATGTTATTAATCCAACGAATATCCCTCTCCCCAGTGTGGTGCCTGATTGTTTTATCGTGTGTTATACAGAAAAGCAAATTGCTAATGGAATTTAATAAATTTGCCTGGCTCTTTCCTGAGAGTAGTTTGAAATCATATTGGTCTTAAATGAAATTGAAATTAAAGGGAAAGAAGAATTGGATCCTGTATTTGAGTAAACTGTGAAGAAGTTTTTTTTTAATCCAAACTAAGGACTTACTACATATCATTTTCCATATTTTTTTATACACATGCTTCTTAGCTCAGTTTTTATTTTTGTTTTTACTTCCCCATTATCTCCTTCAACACTAATTCAAAACAGAGAGAAACATGTTTTCTGGTTGAGTCAATGGATGTAACCTATATCAATGTGATTTCTAATGACAGTCTGATTTTGTTAATAGGGTAACTGAAATTCCTGTTTTGTTGCTTAAGTGACTCTCCTTCCATGCCAGTGCAGTGCTGGCATCAGTCTCTAAGACTGGGTGGCTCAGGGTAACAGCACTAAACATGGCCGGTAAGGCGTGGGGCTAGTTACTGAGTTCCTTCTGCTTCATCACATTGTTAGGCACCAAGAATAAAAAGAGAGTATGACATGGTTCATGCATCTTTTGGGGGCCCTTAAATCTATTCAAAAGTCTTTGGTTATGTTTATCTAATCCATTATTTAAAAAGCAAACAGGGGCGCCTGGGTGGCGCAGTCGGTTAAGCGTCCAACTTCAGCCAGGTCACGATCTCGCGGTCCGTGAGTTCGAGCCCCGCGTCAGGCTCTGGGCTGATGGCTCAGAGCCTGGAGCCTGTTTCCCATTCTGTGTCTCCCTCTCTCTCTGCCCCTCCCCCGTTCATGCTCTGTCTCTCTCTATCCCAAAAATAAATAAACGTTGAAAAAAAAATTAAAAAAAAATAATAAAAAAAAATAAAAAGCAAACAAATAAAAAATAAATAAAAACAACTCTTTATTAGAGGTTTGTTCTTAAAGATGTTTAGGACCTCTGTGACCCCAGAAAGAGCTGCTACAGTTTTTACATTCTGCTTATCTTGTATCCATGGTGATATTTGTAACTTTGCCTTTGCTAAATTGGAGCTCTTTGTCAAATTGTATTTGGCCCAATTGTAGATTATTACCAGTATTAGAAAAAAAAATGAGTGAAAATGGGATACAACAAAAATATCAGAGTATATCAAATGGTAAGGAAAATGTTTGGATAAGCTTCAGTTTTGAAGATATATGTGTAATATGTACACATGCACCAGATTACAGTATATAGTTTCTTTTTGGGGGCTGTGGTTTAAAAAGTTAAACAGTGCATTAGTGTAATATGGTCTTTGGACAAAGTGCAGCAAAAGAGAAAAATGAAGATGTGCAGAATCAAATGTTCACCAAATTTCTCTTCTTTATTGAAATACTTGATTGCTTCTCTCCAGTTTAGTTTTTGGGTAGGGGTTGGGTTCCTATTTTGGGGTCTTTTAAAATCCTCTCATTCATTATATATATATATATTCTTCTCAAGATCTATATATTTTTTCTTCTCAGAATAATTTACCAAATCAAAATGATAAAACAATGTTTGAAAGCATCTCTCTTTGACTTACCTTGGGAATATGATATCAGAGCTCAAGAAACAAACCTCCCCAGGTCTTTTTTTTTTGCAATGAAAATATGACTGATGCTGTCAGCTCTGCAGTAGCTGCTCAGTCCTTTTCTTTGAATTTAGTAGAGAATAGAGGTAGTCAGGAAAGGGAAAGATGCATGAGCCAAAGTCACAGTTCCCTGTTTTCTAAGGACTCCCTTGCTTATTACATATTACTGATTCCAGAGTGGCAAAGATTGAACCTTTCATATAGAAATATCTGGTACTTTCAAAACTATTGCCTGTTTGTATTTGTTAGGAAGCAGAGTTCAGAGTTAGGGTAGGTTTTCTTTTTTTTTCTCTTTCACTTCTGATTTAGGTTATATATTACTTTTGATTTTTCTTTTAAAGTTTTTTTTTTTTTTAATTTCCTGCTCTGATATAGGTTTAATTGTATGTGGATGGTGCATTTACTTTTTTATTATGGTAATAAGAATTTAAGTAGTACGAATTGGTTATGCTGATTTGTTTTTGTATTAGTCTTGGGAAACAAAATTGAAGTATCAGTTGAATAAACATCTTTAGGTTTACCTAGTCTCCACTGAATTTGCCACTAAAAATTATAAATACATAGGGGCACCTGGGTGGCTCAGTTGGTTAAGAATCCAACTTCAGCTTAGGTCATGATCTCACAGTCCGTGGGTTTGAGCCCCGCATTGGGCTCTGTGCTGACATCTTGGAGCCTGCTTCAGATTCTGTGTCTCCCTCTCTCTCCGCCCCTCCCTGCTCATGCTCTGTCTGTCTCTCTCTCAAAAATAAACAAACATTTAAAAATAAATAAATAAATAATAAAAATTATAAATACGTAGACAAAGAGATATATAATTAACCTTTTTCTCTGGCCTTATCTGACATTCCTAAAGAAGTAAGAAGAATAGTTAAACATCTGTTTGTTGGTTTCAGTCATATATATTTTTTTAATCTAGGTGATTTTGACCATATTCTTTTGTAGAATATTTTGTGATTCCACTGCATTAAAAACAACACCACCACAAGAAACACAAAAATCCATTAACACAAAGAGTGTATTGTACTTTTTACAATAGTGGATGCATAATTTTGATCATGAAAATCGTATCTCTTTTTTTTTAGATATTATTTTTCTTCAGGGAACTGAAGTTATATTTAAGGTTGCGCTTAGTCTGCTGAGCAGCCAGGAGACACTTATAATGGAATGTGAGAACTTTGAAAGTATTGTCGAGTTTCTTAAAACCACGCTACCTGATATGAATACATCTGAAATGGAAAAAATTATTACCCAGGTATGATTAAAATGATAAAGGCAAGATATAAGATCACTCAGCAGTTTCTCTACTAAATATATATTAAAAATGCTTTAGTATAAAGACTTAGATTTGCTTGATAGATTTTTTTTAATTTCATCAGATTTATTTTATTTGGAAGTGAGATTATTGTGAAGTTTCTACATTGTGAAACTGCCTGTGTGGCTATGCACAGGAAAAGTGGTTCAGTGCTACATAAGAAGTGTTTGGTGAATTTCAATTTAGACCAATGGTAAGACTGAAGACAGAGCTGACAGAGTTAGGAAGACTGACTAAATAAATAAGTAAATAAATAAATAAAATAAAAATGAGACTTACTTAAATATATAAGGAGTACATGGGGGTGCCTGGGTGGCTCAGTCGGTTGAGCATCCTACTCTTGATTTTGGCTCAGGTCATGATCTTGCAGTCGTGAGATCGAGCCCCATGTAGGGCTCTGCACTGGGCTTAGGGCCTGCTTGGGATTCTTTCTCTCCCTCTTCCTCAGCCCCTCACCCCCTTTCTTTCTCGAAAAAAAAAAATGTAAGATATATAAGGAGTACATGTGGCAAGAGCCTAGGCTTTGGAATTAGTATTGGATTTACGTCAGCCTCTAGCTTTTTTATTAGTTGGTGGGCTTGTACACATCTCCCTAATCTTCTGAACCCTAGTATTCTTACTTCTCAAATAGGTCAATACTGATCTGAGAGGTTTTACAAAGCTTAAATGAGACTTCATGTATTGATTAGGGTCCCTTGCAGGAAATGGTCTTTAATGATTTAAACAAAGCTACCAACTTACAGAGGTTTAGGCAGGGTTAAGAGAACCAAGTGTGGCTGTCCAGGTGCTCAGGAGCTAGTGACAGAGGGAAGCTGTTGATATTCTGGTGTTGAGGGGGCAGAGGAAGGATCTAATAGTGTTTTTAGGCCCAGTGAGTGCTGGAACTATGCAGGAGGAGTTTCTGGAGCTTTTGTACTTTTGGTGAGCCAGGCGAGGAAGGAGCAAGGAAGAAATACAGCCTCTCCTCCTCTTTCTGATTTCCTGCATCTGCTCTCCTGGGCCATACCCAACCAGAAGCCAGCAGAAAAGGAGGTGTGAAAGGGAGATGCAGGTCCCAAGGGTCTTTCTCCCAGGTCCAGCAGAATAGATGAGGGCAGAGAATTGGATCTGGGAAGCAAATGGAGAGTAATCAGCACACCATGTATCTAGTCCTGGCTCTTCACAGGGACTAGGTTAAGTGGTAGTTGTATATTGATGTTACTCAGATGGCATGACCAAGCTTCCGATTTGTAGATAAAGCAGTAATTGTTTATGAGTATTGATAAAGTTTACCACTTTCCTAGAGGCACTTGGGATGGCCAATAAAAGGGTTTAGAGCAAGAGAAAGGGAGTTTGACATCTTGTTCTTGTGCCCTGCCACCTACTAGCTCTGTCACATTGGGCAAATTACAACCTCTCTTTTTCCATACCAATAAATATAGATCCATGCTATCATTTTTAATGGTTGTGCAACAGTCCCTTGTGTCCATGATTTCCCACTAGGTAGGGAAAAACTGATACTTGTTTGAGAGGGATGACCAGGTTGTCTAGACAACCCATTTAAATTCTAATATTTGAGTATCTCTGATCGTGGTAGGATAAATAAATCAGGTTTGTTGTGGTTTCTTTTCTCCCCACAGTGTTAGTGTAGACACCATTGCTTAAATGGCAGCTGCTGCCTCCCTTCCCTTGCAAGTTTGGACTAAGGAGCCATTACCCATCCACTGACTTCTAAGCAAACTGTCTTGCTGCGGGGTGGCGATATGGGAGAGCAGAGGCAGCCCCGATTAAACCCTACAGCTCTGTGCAGTGCTCAGGGAATGCAATTATGAAGATTCTCTGTGTGGTAGAATATGAGATGCATAGAGGCCTACAAGGATTAGCAAATGGATGAAGGCATTTAGTGTAAGACCTGTCTACCCCATTCACAAGTAACTAGAAGTATTTTTGGTTTCTTTATTATAGAAATACCCTATGCAATTTTGCATAGATTATCTCTAACAGAGGTAAGAATCAGCAAAGATTATCTCTCACATAGGTAAGAATTACCAAGTAACTAATGTTGTATCTGGTATGCTACATTTTTGGAGAGTAACTGGGTTATGTATATTTTAGTTGCAAAATACCCTTAAACATTAACTTATTCTATCGTCTTGGCCTCATTATGAGAATGTTTCAGTTGTGTAGAAATAATCCATTTGTCATTATATAGACAGTCATATCTGTTTTTCTTCCTTTTGATATGCCATATTATTCTTCATTAGTAAGCACTTGGAAATCTATGTGAAGTACCCCAGATACACAGACTGTATTTTGGTATCCATACTAAAAGCCAGATGAACCCATTGTGTTTTCATGGCAGGTTTTTGAGATGGATATTTCTAAACAGTTACATGCATATGAGGTGGAATACCACGTGCTGCAAGATGAGCTTCAGGAATCCTCATACGCCTGTGAGGATAGTGAACCTTTGGAAAAGCTGGAGAGGGCCAATAACCAACTGAAAAGACAAAACATGGACCTCCTAGAAAAGTTGCAGGTAAGGATATAAAGATTTGATCAAAAAAGCACTTGACTGCCTTCTCCATGCATGGAATGATATACAAGGAATGGCAGAGATGTTACATAGAGTGAACCATTGCTGACAGAGGGTCTGTGTGGCAGACTGCGTCCAAGTGTTCTGGGGGCTACAGATGCCCATATAAACTTCAAAATCACTTGGGAGAGAAATTTTACACTCACAAAATATTAAATGACAATTCTAGGCAGAATCTGGTTAAATACCTATAGGGTGTTGCACATATTTGGCTACATTCAGGGGAGGAGGGGTTGAATATGGGGAATTGAGAGAGCTCTGGAGGCCTTGGGGCTTGAGCTGGACCTGAGGGATTGGTGGGAGAAATGAATGGGGGTGGGGGGGTTGGTATGAATGAGGAAGACAGGGCAGAGCAGCAGAGTAATCTTGGGGTCTAAGGTTTATGTTTGGGAGAGATGGGATGAATGTGATGGAGGCAGAACTGTAGATAACTTTCAGTGTCAAACAGAAGAGCATGGTTTTAATCCTGCTGAGAAGGAAATCTCTCAGGGTTTTTGAACTGTACTTTCAAAAGATCAGTGTGGAAACCTTGATGAGGACAGATTTGAATGGGGAGAGAAGGTGTGGAGATCAGCTAGAAATCATTTGCAGAAATGATTTGCAGTAGAAATTGTCTAGAGTAAAACTCAGTGAAATGGAAAGAAAAGGAAGCATTTTAGAGAGAATTGAATGAAAACATGTAACACATAGTCCCTGCCATCAAGTTTACAATTATTTGGGAATATAAAATAATATATATGTATTTATAAATGTATATTTACAAATGCAATAAGCAAGTTACTATAAACTAATATTCTGCACCTGTAACTTGTATGATAAGTGCTGTATAGCCAAGCCCTGAGGGGCAGGGTTTGAGAGTGATTGGTGGAGGGGAGGTTAGAAGGAGAACCTTCTGAGGGGTGGGGGAAAATGTGTTCAGAGTTGGAGCTTAAGCGTCTCATGGCTCCTTGGTTTCTGTTTACCCCCCATTTTCCAGAATGACACCTGTCCCCAAACTAGAGACCACTAAAACTCTGTTTCTATATGGTGAGTCCTCTGACAAGAATGACTAGGAGAGAAAGCCTTAGAAATGAGGGATCTCTTGGCTGTCTGGGTGGTGCAGTCAGTTAAGCATCCAACTTCAGCTCAGGTCATGATCTCGTAGTTCATGGGTTTGAGCCCCACGTTGGACTCTGTGCTGACAGCACAGAGCCTGGAGCCTGCTTCAGATTCTGTATCCTCCTCTCTCTTTCTGCCCTTCCTCTGCTTGCTCTGTGTGTCTCTCTTTATCTCAAAATTAACATTAAAAATTTTTTAAAAATGAGGAGTCTCTAGAGTAATTGCTCCAAGAATAGGAACACTGACTTCGTTCACTTCATCTTCCATTAGCCTCTGCCTACAGAAAATTACATGCCTATTCAAAGAAAGAGACAACATTGTCTACTTTAAAAAAGAAAATATTATTACCCGATGCTTCAATGGTGATTAATTGAGCACTTCCTTATTAGGGAAAGTGGGTTTGGACCCATTTTATAATGACTTTTTTAAAAAAAGTTTATTTATTTATTTTGAGAGAGTGCACATGTGTGAGTGGGGGAAGGGCAGAGGGAGAAAGAGAATCCCAAGCAGGCTCTGTGCTGTCAGTATGGAGCCTGATGCAGGGCTCCATCCCATACAGTGAGATCATGATGTGAGCCAAAATCCAGAGTCAGATGCTTAAATGGCTGAGCCACCCAGACATCCCTATAATGACTTTTATTAATGGTTACAGACTTTTTCTTTTTTTAATGTTTATTTATTTTTGAGAGGGGGAGAGAGAGAGAGAGAGAGAGAGAGAGAGAGAGAGCGAGCATGAGCAGGGGAGGGGCAGAGAGAGAGTGAGTCACAGAATCTGAAGCAGGCTCCAGGCTCTGAGCTGTCAGCACAGAACCCTACATGGGGCTTGAACTCACGATCCACGAGATGATTACCTAAGCTGAAACTGGATGCTCAACCAACTGAGTCACCCAGGTGGTGCTCCACAGACTTTCTCATTGACAGTTAAATATCATTATCACGTCTTGGTTCCCAAGTTATGTGGGAACCCCTGACACCAACTGAAACTGATAGGATCCAAAGTATGTGTTTAGAAAACCCTATATTTCTAGTCAGAGGGTGAAAATCCTCGTTTAGCACCTCCAGGAAGCATCAGGAATCTCCTTTTTCTCCTTCATCCAGATCCCACTCACTCCAGTGGCCCTGCCACTGTAGGATGCTGATTTAATACTGCATTTTGGTGTATTCAGTGAAATGAGATGTATTTTGTTGGTACTACAGTTTTATTTTAGAGCAATTGAAAAATATCCATTTCATGAAGGGTTTCAAAGTATTTGTTTCACACACTATTTTATTCATTAAGTAATATGATATGATTGGTTAATACATGTAAGGCCGGGATGCTGGTCTGATGAGGAACCAGAGTCTTCAGATTTTTGATTTGGAAGAATTTGCATTGTTTTTCCTTTCCCCCAAACAGTTAGCCCATGCTAAAATCCAGACCTTGGAATCCAATCTGGAAAACCTTTTGACCAGAGAGACCAAAATGAAGTCTTTAATCCGGACTCTGGAACAAGAGAAAATGGCTTATCAAAAGACAGTGGAGCAGATCCGGAAGCTGCTGCCCACCGATGCGCTCGCCAATTGTGAATTTCTGCTGAGGGACCTCAACTGCAACCCTAACAACAAAGCCAAGACAGGAAACAAGCCATAACTGAAGAAGTGCCCTCTCAGCAGAACATGCTCTTAGAGCGGAGGAAAGGAAGAGTCTGTATGCTGCTGGCCCAGCGCTGGACACCAGAGCTGACAGAACCACTTGAGTCTGGTGCTGCGCCCGTGTCCTAGCTGGTGGACCTCGGTCTTACTAGAGTACGCCAATCCTAAGCCATTGTACATATGTAGACTGGTTTTTTCTGTTGTTGGTATTGACTATGTACATATATATAAAATGGACACAAACAGTTCATGCTTTCAGATCAAAAGAGTAGATGTATATTTAGTGAATTTTTTTAAATCAGAACTTCATGAAACCCCCACCAAAGGGAAGTTAAAATGAAATTCCCCTTGGACATATGTGAAATCATTTTGTCTTTGTAGTGAAACAAAGCTTAGAGCATCTTTGTATATTGAAATATACTTGAAAAAAATGAATGTATTTTTTTCTCCAAAGAGCAGCATGTTTCACTCAGTGGTGGAGAGGTAGAAACATTTGTGTAACTTTATGTATATCTGTCTTAAAATCTACTGACATTATGTATATCTGATTGCCAATCATGCTCCTATGGATTTTTCAGGAAGGTGGGGGCCTTCCTCCCCTGCCAGCTTTGTGCCAACTAGCATGTTGTGTCTACATGCATTTTGAGTCAGGTGAGGCATTACTTTGGATGTGTGTTAAGGAGAAAGCAAGACATCATAGTGGAGTCTACCCACCCAGCTCAAGGTGAAAAAGAATGTTGCTAGTTTTCTAGCAAATTAGACCAGCATTATTACTCAAACTAAAAATATCAGGCTTCCAAAATTTAATTTAGGACCTAAATTGTCTAGATCAACTTTCTACTTTTTTAATTTAAATTACTGCTTATAGTTGTGAATGGACTCCCTTTTACTTGGTGCCACAATTGGTGACAAGGATTTGGCATTTTCCCACAAATGGGAACTCCTAATTTAGTTCTCTCTACCTGCAATGAAAGATAGGGAAATGCGATCATAATTGGTTTTCTAAAGATAATATGCTGTATTGACACATTTTTTTTTTTAGCATTTATTTTTGAGACAGAGACAGAGCATGAACGGGGGAGGGTCAGAGAGAGGGAGACACAGAATCCGAAACAGGCTCCAGGCTCTGAGCTGTCAGCACAGAGCCCAACACGGGGCTCGAACTCACGGACTGCGAGATCATGACCTGAGCCAAAGTCGGCCGCTTAACCGACTGAGCCACCCAGGCGCCCCTATATTGACACATTTTTTTATTGTAGTTGCCAACGGACAGAATCTAATCTCTTGATCATCTTTCCCTTGTATGTGAAAGTTTGGGGGAATTGTGAAATGTTTGAGAATAAACTGTTGAAATCCACTGGAGAGAAGTGACAAGTGGCACCAGGCCCTTTCTAAGATCTACAATTCTGTATTTGAACTCCCAGCTTCCTCAGGCTACAGCTTAATAGAGGACATTCATGCATGTTGGGTATATGGAAGAAAAGTAATTTTCAGAACACACCTGCAGTTCTCCATTTGAGATGAGTCTATGATAGTGCCTCTGAAAGTTGATGCAGCATTTTTGCCTCTCCAAACAATATTTATCATCACTGCTTTTTGCAGTACTTATCACAGATGGATTATCTAGGATAATTTTCTTCAGAGGGGTTTTTTTTATACACAAGCTACAGTATATTATAGAGAAAGAGCAAAGCTCTCGAGGTTTGGGAAAACCTTGAAGAGCAGATGATAAACATCTGAACCCCCTGCCTTTACACCATTACTTAGTATAAATGTAATGATTCCTGTTACAGATCAGCATGCCCTCTAATCCAGGCAGTTTTTCTAAAAAAGAAAATAAAGTCTTATTAGGAAAGTTACCGCAGTTTCTAGTTTTAGGAAATGTTGATTCTAGGTACCCTATTAAGTTGGGGTTTTCAGCTGATTTGTTTCTTGGATTCCCCCAAATTTCTCTATTTGTAGGTGAGGTTTTCCTGTGAGGAATATGACAGATATCATCTAGTTACTGTCTGGTGATGGAAATTACCTTATGTGTGTTATATACAGGTGGTAGCCAAAGAATCTTTAAATTGGGAAAAGAAACTTTTCCTTTCAGTTCAAAGTTAATTTTACTCTGGATACTCAGAGTGTCATGAGTTGTATTATGTATGGTGTTCAGAGATTTAGGTGTCTTGGATACAGTATTTTTTCTGAAAATGAACTTTTTCTTTTGTGATTTTTTAAATGTTGCCCCAGTTATGCTTTATGTATTGTTACATCTTCATCTGATTAATGTAATGTCTAGTTCATTTCCAATAAATACATTGCTACAGTTTCCTTGGCTTATTGGTTTTACCTTTGTTTGTAGTAGGAAAGATGATACTCTTGGTTAGATTTCTTTACAAAATCTGTATAGGCTGGATTATTGCTACTTAAAATTGGTTCCATGATAATTCTTTTCAGACAACAGGGCGCCTGGGTGGCTCAGTTGGTTAAGCATCTGACTTTGACTCAGGTCATGATCTCATGGTTCGGGAGTTTGAGTCCAGCACCGGGTGAGCTCCAGCCCTGCATCGGATGAGCTCAAGGCCCACTTCAGGTGAGCATGAGCCCTGCTTTGGGTGAGCACGAGCCTTGCATGAAGTGAACACGAGTCCCACTTCAGGTGAGCCCCGCTTCTCTCTCTCTCTGCCCCTCATAGAATTCCCTCTCTCTCTCTCTCCACACCCCCCACGCTTGCTCACTTTCTCCCCCTCTCTCTCGATTAAAAAAAAAAGAATCAGATAACAAAGGTAATTTATAGAAATATTTATGAAAGTCCATTGTTGGTTACCAATTTTCAACCTCTTTCCCAAAGAAGCCTTTTCTTGAAGAATATAAAAAGAAAAAGACAACCACATTGACAGATTTGCATTCTACCCCTTTTGTTTTCTATGCTCTCTCATAGATAGCAAGGGACAGAATGAGGATAAGAAAATACAATTTTTTAAAAATTGGATTAGCTTCCAAATAATTAAGAATATTTATTGATGGATATGATTTGAATGTGGTCACATACAATATATATCTTCAGAATATTCTCAAGTATGTTTGTAATCCAGTACAAAGGACACTGGATCTTCTTGTTAACTTTAGGACTAAAATTTTTAGATGTCTTGGCTTATTGTAGCCAACTCTTTGAGTGTCCTGTAAGCTTACATAGTACGGTCTCTTATTGTCCATGTTCACCTACCCATTTTATAATCATTTCATCAATTTGTTTTCACTGTGCTAGATTAGGAAATCTGTCATCTGAAGGATTTAGTTCTCTGCCACAATATGTCACCCATATTAGCTGGGATATATTGAAAAAGCACTAGATTTAAGGTGAGAAGTTTTAGATCTGCGTCTTGGTTCTGACACTTTTATTTATTCATTTAATAAATAGTTTCTGTAAGCCAAGCTAGATGCTGAGTATTCAGAGGTGGAGAAGATACAGCCCTTGCCCTTGATGTGCTTGCAGTCTAGTGGCAAGGGGACTAATTAAGAAGCAGGAGGGTTTATACAATTACAGATATGCAAAGTAATCGAGATGAGAATCATTTCAATCAGCCTGGACAGGAGTGACCAGCAGCATCGGGAGCATCAGGTAAGTGTTGCTTGACCTGAGTCTAGAAGAGCCAGGCATAGGTGACTAGTTTGTGTTACACAAGAGATGAATGAGAAAGGATGGTGTATTTCTCAAATCACAACACATTCCTCTTTTTTTAAAGTTTATTTTGAGAGAGAGGGAGAAAAAGAACATGGGGGTGGGGGAGAGAGAGAATCCCAAGTAGGCTCTGTGTTGCCACAGCCTTTTCCCCAATCCATGTTTTGTCTCAGATATCCTGGTAATCTCCATCAACACTGCATAGCACAATTGGTGGCATGAAAGAACAGAGTCAGTGTTGACCCTCCTTGATAAAAACAATATAAAGCAATAAAAAAAAAAGTTTGGTTTGAACTAAACATTTTATTTACTATCCTATGGGTAAGGTCTATAAATGTCAAATACCTGGGCATTCCAATGAGGTATCTCCTAAAACCTCATAAAAAGGGAAACATGAGATTCCTTAAACAGAAATCAAAATCTTCACTCTGTGATCTAATCAAATATATTTGCATAGCTAAAGTTAGGTTAATCAGAAGAGAATTAATTAGTCTTGGAAAGATAGGAGAAAAACAACGAGGCAATTTTGGTAGGTTCAGTGGAGGGAACCCTACCCAAGACCCTGGCAAGCCTGTCCTCATTGTTAAAATGAATACAGGGTATCCTGGCCTCCAGAATCCAAGTGCTCTGGCCCCTTTGACAAGTCTGTCCCTGTTGTGAGATTGATGTGATATCTGGGTTGGAGAGAGGTCTTAAACATCCAATTCATTATGTTCCGTGTGTGTGTGTGTGTGTGTGTGTGTGTGTGTGTGTTTTAATACATGCCTTCAAAGCAGGCTTCCATGTATGATTTAGTTTGTTTCTCTGTCATACAGGCTAGGTGGGTTGTAAAAGTGCAAATATTAAAGTCCCTGTGACAATCGTGTTTTTCTATATAAATTAAAAACAGGGATTCTGAATTTTAAAAATTGTAAAATACACATAACATAAAATTTACCATTTTAATCATTTTAGATGTACAGTTCAGTGGCATTTAAGTATATTCACCTTATGTAACCATCATGAACATCCACCCATGAAATCTTTTCATCTTGCAAAACTGAACCTCTGTACCTATTATAACTCCCCTAACTCCCCAGCCACTGATAACTACCATTCTGCATTTGGTCTGTATGAATTCAACTACTCTAGTACCTTACATATGTGGAATCATACAGTACTTGTCTTTTTGTGACTGGCTTATTTTGCTTAGCATAATGTCATCAAGGATCATCCATGTTGTAGCATGTATCAGAATTTCCTTTTTAAGGCTGAATAATATTGTACTGTATGTATATTCCAGATTTTGTTTATTCACTCATCTGTCAGTGGACACTTGGGTTGTTTCCACC